ATTTTGGATGCTCCCTTTTCTCAACAAAATTTTCAGCAATATTCTCAATAACTAAAGGGATGTACTGCATCAACTTCCCTAGTAAAGTTATATGGGGAACTGCTGCCCCTTTAAAAGTCAATTTTTTTGCTTGGGTGGTGGCAAGGGAGAAGTGCCTTAATTTACCCTCCTCATATAAAAGGGAGAAGTACCTTACAAAGCAAGTTCTGCTAAACAAAGGCTTTATTACTCCAGACCTTCTCCGTCCACTTTGTGGCTCAGAAAAGTAATCCTCAAACCATCTTTTCATCCACTGTGGTTTTTCAGCAACAGTATGGAATCACTTTTAAAATCAGTCCATTTAATCTTGTGCTTCCAAGGTCACTGATGGAACTGTTAGAAAGCCGGCAGGTTCCAGGTATGTCCATAAAAGGAAGATTTTTATGGGTAGCTATTCCAATTTCCGATTGCAGTTTTGTGGGCCATTTGGCTAAAAAGAAACAGCAGGATTTACAAGCAGAAAGCAAACTCAGAGACAGGGATGATTAACCATGTACTAGAGGCTTTCAAGGGTTGGATGTCAATATCTAATGTATTTAAAGCTTTTCTTTTTTTTTTTTTTTGCATCTTTTTTGAGGGTGGATTTTTTTGGGGGTTCCTAATTTCCTGTTCCTTTACTGTATAATTATGGGATTGGATTTTTTTCGATGTTTGGGTAGAGGTGGAATATGGCAGGAGAGGTAAGGAAGGATTATGTGGAGGTGTGCAAGAGCAGCTCTGATTTGGACAATACAATCTGGGAAGAAAGGAATGCTAGAAACTTCCAAGAAAAGGAGAGAAGCCAACAAGGGGTAATACACTGGTTACTAAGATTTGTTTCACCAGTTCTTTAATGATATATGGAGGAATTGGTCAGCAGTGGCAAGTTGTTCCCCCATAAAGAATAGAATAATTGCAAGCTGGGCACCCCCTCCTGAAGGTTTATTGAAGCTGAATTTTGATGAAAGCAGTCAAGGCAACCCAGACCCCTCTAGAATGGAAGGGTTTTTGAGAAACGAACCTGAAGTTTTACTATTTTACCCAGGTCCATTGGGAATTGGGGGCTGTTAGGGTGGAATTACTAGCTGCCTTACAAGGAGTACAGTTTGCAAATCAGCTAGGTGTGGAGCAAAAATTGATTGAAGGGGATTCCAAGGTGCTAGTGAGGTGGTTGAAGAAACCAGAGTCTGTTGTGTGGTGCTACAAGAATGAAATCAAGAAACTCAAGTGGCTGACACGAAATATGTATTTGAGAATATAGTGGCGGGGGAGATCAGCAAATGCAATGGCTGACTGCTTAACCAAGCAAGGGGCAACTAAGGAACAATTGTACTGGGCTCAGTTGTAATTTGTTATTTGTTTTTCTCACTACTCTGTTGGGAGAGGTTATAGCTCATTCCTCTCCAAGAGATGTTTGTATCAGTTTGAATCATTGGTTTAATAAAATTTTTGCTCATCAAAAAATCACATTTTATCAAAAAAAAGGGTTTATATCTGCACGGGGCTATACATCTTTTGATACTAATACAATACACTATTTTACCTTTTCTCAAAAAAAAAAAAAGTCAGCATTTCAGATTCTGTTTGCTAGAATATTTTTAATGAGGCAATAGAATATGAACACTCAAGAGTACACTAAGACTTTAGTAAGTCGCCTCCTGGACAAGCTATTGAAATAACTGAAGAGTTATTGATTCAAAAAGTGAAGAGTACAACAGTCAGCATGGTTTTAATTATTTTGAAGTGAACATTATTGAGAGGCCCTATTAATTTGCTAGGAAAATAAAAGCCTGACATGCTAGAAAAATGGACAACAGTGATGCTATTCATCTATGGGTGTGTTTGGACCGTATGAATTAGAATTTACACTGGAAATTAAATGCATATAAGTTCAAATATTTATTTACTAAAAATGAATAAAAAGTTCATTGTTTAGTAATAAATGAGAATTGATAGACTTGGTCAAGAATAGTTCAAAATGTCTATTAATCCATTCCAACTTAATAAATTGGTTTGCCATATTTCTAACAAACATAAATTTTTACCAAAAAAAATCAATTTAAGTTTTAAATTCTACTACTTGGAAAGTTGAAATTACAAGGGCGGTGTTTGGAACTGTGGGCGTTTTTTCAATAAACGCTGCCACATAGGCACCACTTCAGCATGTAGCCCACCATGCTGATCCGTACGCATAGAGACTCGCAAAAGCTGGCCTTGATTTATGTGCACACCTATCGTTGGGGGAAGCTTCAATTTAACGCTTCCCCCAACGGTTAGGCATTTATCACTGTTATGCTGATGTGGTGCCTAGTGGCACCTAGTTGTCAATAAACGGTTTCATTATTACTTTTCTTGGTTTTGCAAACAAATCAAGTACAAACGTTTAGTGAATAAATGGAAGTTATTCCAAACACATACAAGATTGTCATATTTTTATTACATGTTTTATAAGCATAGACCAATTACTTTTTATTACACAATGATTAAAAACATTCTATGCAATTACTTCACAATTCCTTATGAATTATTTTTTGTACTTTCCTCTTTTCATTTAGCAAAGGATAAAAAGAAAGAATAGTTCCCTATGTTTCTTATTATTATATACTTGTTAAGTCACAATTCTATAAGTTAAGCCATTACATATAATTTAAAAGTAATTTCATTTTAGTGGATAATAATATAACTGAGTTAATTTCATTTTTGTATACCCATTACTACTATAGTAACCATTATGTTATTGTTATTATTATATTTAGACATGTCACAGTATTATAGGTCAACCTTTTGAGAGAAAATGACTTTTGTCATTATTGGGTTAGTCCAATACCCAATTCTTATGGACATGGGAATTGCAAAAGACACCTCCAAGGTGGAGATTCAAGTTCCTACAGAATGTACAAACTGGAATTCCCTGAACATTCTAATCCATGTAAATTTGGCACATCCGTATTCACAAAATAGGAATTCCAATTACTAACCCCCTGGGCCAATTCCAAGGATCCAAATACACCTTGTATTGTGTCCAAAGAGAAAAAGGCACTTTGTTGTAAGTGCTCCAAAATTCAAGGATAAACTTGAAGGCCATGAAGTAAAAGAATCAGATTGTTTAACATTTGAAAATTCATATGGATCCCATTCTGGAACTTTTAGGCTGTGTTTGGTTTGAAAGAAAAGGTAGGGAAAACTAGGGGAACCTGTACAAGGTTTGTATAGGTTTCTCTACCTTTTCTTTAAAACCATACACAGCCTTAAGCACTCTAACGGTTGGGGCTCACTTCCTAGTTTCCAGAAGCCTAGCGAAGTTTGAACCTTGTCATCCCAATTAAGATCTCATCCCTGGCACCCCAAGCTCCACTGATGTATCATTGGAGTTGCGCTTTTCTATTTATGGTGGCAATAGAGCTTCATTGTATTATCTTTTATCAATAGGGCTTCGTTGTATTATAGGCCTAATGGCCTACGCACCAGTTTATTCTCATTAAATTAATGCAAAATGCCCTTTCTTGGTCAATGCCAGATTTGCATTTTTTTTGTATCTTCCCCTTTTCTCAGTTAAGTATTTTCCATAGTTCTAAAGGTAATAACAATTAAGTATCTCCAAAAGAGGTATGTCACTGGCAGGAGGTACACATGACAGAGTGCAAATGATGTTGACAGTAAAAGCACCAACAATTAGAGGGTCAACTCATTTGGCTGGGTTGGATTATGTACAAACCAAAGACCAAACACAGTAACTGAAATTTTCAATCTTATCTTTACCCAACCCAAGCAAGAAGTAACCAGAGATTTTTAACCCAGTTCAAGTTTATATACTTAACCATAACCAAACACAATATAAAGTAAATCCTACGACATCCAACTATTCAGGCGAAAATACGATAAATGATAGGGAAAATATCATCAACTAAATTTAATAAATATTCCACCACTCAAAATCCCAATAACTTCAAAAGTTCAACATTATCTTGACCCAACCCAAGAATCAACAACAGACTTTTAACCCAATCCAAGTTTATAGATTTTAACTATAACCAAACACAAGTTAAATTCCACTACACCCAACTATCCAAGCCAAAAGACGGTAAATGATAGGAAGTTATTGTCAAGTAGATTGAATAAATATGCATCCCAGGTTAGAGCTTTAAGCACGGACTGCAGTCCAGACTTGAATTTCACTCTTCGTTTTCATTTTAACATCATGAAATGGTTGGATGTTTTTCTTATGATCCTTAATAAAGTTCTGACATTTTAATAAAAAAAAAAAGAGAAAACTATTCTTACAAGACTACAGAGATGACAGAAACACCAATGAGGTGAAGAAACAGGCCAATTTATGAGTCCTAAATGAAATCATGGAGAACGTCACATACATGGACTCAATTATGCAGAAGAATCAAAACCCAGAATGCTGAAACACCCCTCAAATATTTGTAGCGCGAACAAATAAAAGATAAAACCCTCAAAAATGAAGCGGAAAAGCGAACGTAAAAGACGTCCTTGCTTCCCCTCAAAAGAATATGGACCCAAGAGGAGCACAGAACAGCAGCAGGCCGAACTATAACTTACTCAAGAATTTTATGGAATCAGCAATAATCCGACCTCTTCTCTCCTCTAATTTCCCAAAAATTTAAAAGCATCATCAAACTTATCCAAAAATAGAAATTTGAAAATAAATACAGATAAACAGGAGATCAAGTGCAACCCAAACACGAGAAGAAATAATGATCATAATGGGCAAGCATTATCAGCTCAACAAAACTCAAAAATGAAGAAAACCCAATAGAAAGATGGCACTTTTTCTCAACTGAGCTAGGAAAAAAACTAAAAAACACATGAACAAAGATAACAAACAAAACAAGACAAAATCAAACAAAACGAATAATGCAAACATGATAAACAAAACCCAACCTCCCAAAGGCCAAAACCAATAAAACAACAGATCCTCGAACAAGAGGCCGACATCATCTCCTCCACAAACTGACCTTCTTATGAGCATCCATAGCGGCGACCCTGTTGCTAACGTTTCGTTTGGGAACTTTGATCTGCTTCAAACCAGAAATCTCAAAATCCCTCACGATCTCAAGCTCCTGCGCTTCTTCCTCTCCTTGTTCTCGTTCAACTGTTATCTTTTCGCTCACAAATACACGGTTGCCGGTGTCATTGATCATATCATCATGGTTATTGTTAGAAGAAGAATCGGAAGAACGACGTTGGAACCAACGACGAAATTCGTCCACGAGAGCCCCTCCCCCCATATGCAGCGCGTGATCGAAGAGCTACAACCAATCGATCGCAGCATTGCCCGCTTTCTCCTCTATTTTCCCTCGCTCCTCGACAAGTCTTCCTTATTTTTCCTTCTCTCTCGTCCGATGTTTCCGGTTACGCAGATTAGAGCGCGCGCGGGCGAGAGGGCGAGAGGGCGAGAGAGCGACAAAGCGTGTGTCTAGAGAGAGAGAGAGAGAGAGAAAAAAAAAAAAAAAAAAAAGGAGGATGGAATGGATTAATTTAACTGGATCGCCGCAGGCTTTCTTTCGGGGACTGGTCGGTCCTTCTTCGCCGCTAAAAGAAATCTTTCTTTTGATGGAGGGACGATATTCTATTTAATTTAATTTTATTAAATTAAAATATTGCTTGTTTACATGGTCATGGACTCATGTCATGGCTCATGGGAGGTAATACTCGAAATTTACACCACGTGGCAACAATTGGAACCCACCTAAGGATGATGCTTCCTGGGCGTTCGATTATTTCTATCCTTTGCCTTTTGGGTGGCCCAACTGTGAGCGTAACTTATGTCTTTGCCACGTGGAAAATATCCATCAGTTGCCCAAAGTTTCACTCATCAATAAAATAAACTGAAACATTAATAATGAGATGAGATAAATATCAGATTTAAAAACTGAAACGTGTAGTGCTGCTTATTGTCTGATTCAGACGCTGGGTTGCCCATTGAAGAGCATTGATGGGTACAAAACGTGTAGGTTTAATGGACGTGATTCCAGCCCAATAAAAGAAGAGCATTGATGGGTACAAAACGTGAGGGTTTAAGGGACGTGATTGCAGCCCAATAAAAGAAGATGGAAGAGTAGTGGGGTCATCATGATCGTTAGAGTTTGGCAAAAGTTTGCATATAGAGTTTTTATTTATTTTAGGTAAAGTTATTTTTCAAAAAAAAATATTATTATTTAAAAAAAAAATCGGAGGTTCAGGTCGCTGTTGGGGGTCGGGGATGAAGGACAAATTTTATCCCCAGTGGGAATCCAGGATGGTGATGGGAGTTAATTTCAAAATTGGGGGTGGGAATGGGGATGGGGATGGGGATGGGGAATATGATCCCCACTCCAAACCTGCCTTGTTGCCATTCTTAGATAGGAGTGATCGGGTGAACATTATTCAGTTGAAATGTAAAAATAAGGCAAATTTCTTAAATTATTTCTATTGTTTAGTTAATTAATTAATTCTACTTTTATTGTTTATTTATTATCTTGAACTATCTTTATTGTTTGGGAAATTGTCAAAAACTCACCATGAGTTTTTAGCATTTCTCTGACGTTAAAGACACTAACGGTGGTTAATATATTACCATTTTAACCTTTATAGAAAAAATTAAAAATATATACATATATTTTAATATTTAGATATGAAAAAAATGAAAAAGCTCAAAAAATATTTTCAAATATAAAAACACAGAAATTACAGAATAGTCCAACGGACTGGCCCGGCCCGGTCCGATCTAAGTCAGGCTTGGACAAGATTTTAATCCCGCAGGCTCAAGCTCGGGCCTAAAATATCGGTCCTGACTTTTTTTAGGTTGGGCATAAGCTTTCTCAAAAAAGCCAGGCCCGAGCCTGAGCCCGACTTGATAATGTATTATATTAATAAAAATATATTTTATATAATAAAAAAACATATATATAATATATTTTCTTCTATTTTTTCAAATAACATTGAGACTTTTTATTTTTTAAATTTTGAGGTCTTTTAGTATAAATAAAACAACTTTTAATTGAATTAAAAAAAAATCCTTTTTTTCCAAATCTCTATTCGGACTTTATAGTCGAGTCGACCTCAAACTCGGGCCTAAACATTTTTCTGTTAATGTAAAGATAAAACGCAGCCCGGCCCATGAACAGATATACTTCCCAATATAACATTTCCTATTCTCATGTTTACCGGGTCGGTTTTGACTTTGTAGATGTTATAACTGGTCTCTACTCACCCACCACATAATTGGCTAGCTACTTGTGAAACGTAAACCACCATCCTATCCCATGTGATCTCTTCTATTAATTAACTTGATTTCTTGCCTCTTGATCTCCATTGTATTCTAATAAAAATTATTCTTGTAAACAAAGCAAGAATTGATGTTTGCTTGTCCATATGACCAAGAATTGATCTCTTCTATTAATTAACTTGATTTCTTTCCTTTATCCCACAATAAAGGAAAGGAGCCAAGGAAATGATGTTTGCTTGTCCATATGACCAATAGAAATTATGAAGCCCGATACTGGTTACCATAGCTGTATACAACTGGTAGTGCTTGCTAACAGAAGAAAGCCAATTGTAGAAAGATTCCAAACTCAATAAATGGCTAAATGCCTCATTCGGCATTGCAACAATCCATAACAAACTTATTTGTCGAATGAAGCACCCAAAAAATTATGATTTTGAAGCCGTTATTGATTCAGATGGTCGGACCATTCGAATGGGTTTTATTCACACTTGAAATGGTTTTTTGTCAAAAATTTTTGACTTAGTCAGAAACCCATTGACCTGGGTGGTTGAACTGTAGATTTGTTCGACTTAGACAGTGGGTTTTAGCTATTTTATTTTAATTCTCATTGTATCTTTTTTTAATCTGAACAGGCCTATCTATTTGGGGGCCGAATAATTGAACCTTGACCCAAAAACCAGTGACTAAAATGGTCCCGATTACAGTTTGGCTTTTATGAAACAATTTAGGGCAAAAGATTTAATGGAGAAGTACGGATTTGCCCAATGCAGATTTCTGATTTACGCTACAGATATATAAACATTTAAAAAGACCACAACTCAACCTCTATGCACCAATGCCCACCCATAAATTGATATCAATTCCAAACTGGCACCTACCCCGACAGTACTTTGAGCATATAAATTCTAACCCTGGGCTGATCGGTCATTCTCCCAAGATTTAAACCTCCCTTCTTCACATCAGAGGGGGAGTACAGTCTACTTTTAAGTGATGCATTGAGGGACCCACGTGGGGCGGCATGCCATACATCCTGGATCCCATCCCTCTAGTATAGTCTCTCATGAGCCTTCTGTTCTTTGGCAATCAATCAACGAGAGAGAGAGAGGATGTCAATATTTTGATGAAATGAATTGAGGAATCAAGAAAAAGGGATGGAATTCAAAGGAGATATAATTTTGGCAAGGGAGGCCTTAGTCCTTTGTAAAAAATTGAGGGGAGGTTTCAATATTTATGAGGGAAAAAAAAAAAAACTCAACAGAGGTTTAGTCTTTTTCCTAAAATTTTAATGATAATACCAAAGCTCAAAGCATCATACATACAAAACTGGATTTCTACGGTTTTACACATTTTAACGACACTCCTCTATTTCATTTTATTAATTATTCAGGCTGGTGTTTTAACAATAAGAATGTTAGAAATGGCTCTTTTGTTTAAACATAAAAACACCCCCTAAATCTATATAAATAGCGTTTACATGGATTTAAAAAGTGATATTTTGAAATATTTTAGGAAACGGTGTGGATTTAAAAGCTGATATTTAGAAATATTTTAGACTTTCCATTATATTATACACATGAAGGTGGTATTTGGTATCATTGAGTCATCTTAATCATGGGTATGAATCTTGTTTGATAATGTTACAGCCACCTAAGCACATGCAATGACACTACACAAATTTTTATTCGGTAAGACATTTTTACCAATTTGTCTTGAAAAATGGCAAACTGTTGTTGTCACATCAATACCAGGTCATCCAACAGTTGCAACTTGCAAGCAATGGTGAACCAAAACAAGAAACATCACAAAAAACGTTTCACATGAACTCGACTGCCAACCAGGCAACCATCCGCGATATCTTTCCAGCATTTCGCCTTCTAGGCTTCAACACACCATGTCAAATTCCCTGTGCAAGCTATCAATGCCTCTTACGGAAGTGAACCAGGAACCAGGACCAGGTAGGAATGTAGGATCGCCAGGTCCACAAAAATAGTGAACTATCTTGAAAGTACGAACTACGAGGTTAGTAAGCCAAAAACGACCAATAATAGAAGCATGTTCAAGGCTCAGGTTGCCAGAAGCAGACTAATCCGCAATCAAATACGTCATCAGTCAGAACCATTGAACTTGTTGTCTTGATCTAACCACAAATGAATATTTAAAAGGAGGAATCTCACAAAAGAAGCATCCCATTAGATAAACAAAGCATCGGTGGACATCACCAATTCACCATATTAACGTATCGTTTTGGACCTTGAATTCCAATAAATTAATAAGTTGACCCCCCCCTTCCCCCCTCGCCCCATATGCAAAGTTGCAAACCAAAAAGCAATATCCAAAGAATGCCATTTTCAGTTCGATTCATCTAACCCCAAAGTATAGGTTGTTACTGCTCATGTTCAACAAAATCAACAGGTTGTTCTGTTTGAGTTTTCTTACAAATATAAATATTAAAATGCTCACCATACAATACTTGAATATAATGCTTTCAGGCTCATCGAAGTAAATAAATCCATCTAGAGAAACAGATCAAAATTGAAAACAAAATCATAACACTGAATGTTGCAAAACTCGGTGGCAAGTTTGTGGACATTCCAGGGTAAAACCACCCCTGATGAGAAAACTACCGAAATTAAGTCCCTCCAGCTTTTCTGCGGCCAACAAGAGCAACAAAACCAGCCTTGATTGGAGCAACAGACCGCCCAGAGCCACACTGCAAAAGAAAAGAAATTATAAGCAGGGTGACAAGCAGTCAAGCACAAGTGAAATGGTTGTATTATGCAGCTTTAAATAGGCTGCACAGAACAGGAGTAGGGCTCGTTTTCAATTAGGTTTACAAGGAAAACAAAATAAAGACCCATTTTCATGTATGAGAAAACCAGCTTCATAGTGAATTTATTAGTTGCCATATAGGAGGTCCAAAAGGGTTGAAATAAATATTTTACTCTATAGCATATGCACTATTAACAAAGAGAATAAGAGATACACTTCCCCAGATGAGGCCTCAGAAGTACTGAGATTTTTCTTATCATGCTTGAGATCAAACAATGTAGGCAAATATTTTGAGGATCATCATCGACCTCCAAGGGAAGAAGACAACTAAACTGCATACATAAATAACTATTAGGCCTCGTCCATCTCCAGGAGAAGCATGTAGGTTCAAGAACCTGCACAACTGAAGAAGCTTTGTCCCAACCACAGGGACTTGGCTACATGAATCCAGATTTGTCATCCCACTCTATCAAGGGGTTGATAACACCAAGTGTTCCGTATCTTAAAACATCAAGAACCATGATTCCGTAAGCATAGTTTCAGAATGTTCTAGAAAACCGACAATGCTTTTCTTTTTGGTCAAAGGGAGGCACAAACAAGATCATCACCTTAACCATATAATCTACATTTAGCCCCCTGTACATTTTTTTTTTTTGCAATACCGAGTAGCTCCTTGGTACTTTCATATCATAACAAATAGCATTTCCATCACAAATCCATTAAAGGAGTTGGCAGTACATGCATATGCATTGTCAGACATTTCTATTTTCAGAAGACAATTTTGCTCTTTAACCACTTTACCCATTTAATGTTACTGAAAGAGAATATTTTTGGAAAAATAATAGAATTTCATTTAATGTTACTGAATTAAACCCAAAATTAAAAAAAAAAAAGGCTTGCAAATTATTCAAACTATCCAAATGATGTACTATGATTCCATCAAATCATCCAAATGATCTATCCAATCAACACAGATATCTAGACCGTCAAAGTGGCCTCCTGGATCAGTGAATTAATCTCAACCATCCAAATGATGTACCAAAATTTCAACTGATTCAGGCTTGTCCAAAGAATACACCAAAGTACCAAACCAACCCAAAAATCTTGTCAATTTAAGTAATGTTCCAAGAATTCATCAAATCTCAGCCATCCTAGTGTAAAGCACCAAAGTTTCTAAAAATGAAAGCCAAATAAAATGATATAAAAAATAAACCAAATATCCAGACTTCACAATAGCCTCCACTGGGAATTATAGTCAAATACTAAGATCTCCCATCAGGGTTTACATATTAATTTACTTATCCCTTTTTACACCTTCTTGTATATCATATGAAGTTATGGACAAAAATAACCTTAAGGCTCGGTTTGGGAAGAGTACAAAAACAAATACGTGCAGTGCAAATACAAGGTTTCCAATACAATATACAAGGTTTTATACCATACATATTTGTATTTGCCTCTTCCCAAACCAAGCCTATGACAAATGCATAGACAATAATACAAAATACAAGGCATTGCACTCTACATATTTGTATTTGTACCCTTTCCAAACTTAAGCCTGCGGTACGATTTTTTTTTCTGCAACAAAGATAAGGCATGAATGAAAAGTTTAAAACAGGTTCGGTGGAAGGAAAATTGAGATGTTAAAACTGCATTTAATGCTTATAAATGAGGGTACTGCTATCAATTCCAAAACATATATTTTGCAGGCAAAACTAATATTTTATTATTAAAGACATTTTGGTATACTTATTTCTGTCCCTTTTGTTAACAAACCCCATGTAGTTTCATGGTCAAAGGGGTTTACAAGTTAGTAGGATAACTCAAAGGCTGGTATAAGTATTTGACCAAAACCTTTGGGGAGATTTAAGTCATTACCTTTATATGAAAATACAAGGTGCCAAGTGTCACAAAAAATAGAACAGAGGCTAAATGTCATAACCCTCCAAATTACAGGGTTCCTTGTAATCTTCATCAAAAATCACTAATCATATAGCAGTTTCCCCTGACCAGTGAGTCAAACTACATGTGCATGTCCTTAAAATACACAGCCATAAACACAGTGTGGCCACCAATAATAGCACTGTGGCTGCCTGGGAAAACGACTGCCCCTATTTACAACTATGGAAACAAATCAAGTAAAACATAACATAAGGTCATTACCTGTTCACAACGAAGAAAGAACAGGCGGTTCTCCTTTGTAAGAATAGTGTCTGGACTTTTGCAGCCATTGCAAATGACATATTCATCTGAGGAAATGTAAATGATTGGATATTAGAAAATCATATATAAAAGCAGTAAAAACTGAAAGCTTTCTGATCTATCATAAAAACTTCGTAAATATTCATGGAACAGATTTCTTTTTCATATTGAAGAACAGAGAGAACAGCATACACTACATGTAAAAAGTGACTCATAATGGAACTGGTTAACATTGACCAGATACACGACCAATGACTCAAACAAAGAACAATCATTCAGACGAATCAATAAAGAATCTTACTGATGTATCTTCGCAGGATCCCCTCAAAATTCTTAGGAGCAAACCTTCCCTTAATAACCAATCTTTGTTGTCCATCAAGAGATCCACTAGTTCCCATTTCAGCAAGTAAGAAGTTCATAACATGCTCTGGCTGCCTATGCATCCTGGAATTGTAAAAGTACCAACAACATGATTATTATATATGCCAGAATTATCTGATATGTTAATTTTAAGGAAAAAAAGACATCTGGTCACTGCACAAAGAAACCAAACAGAAAGCATCTGCCACACATCCCATATTTAAAATAGACATGGGCAGCGTCCTATAGATAGAAAAAGCATCTTGAATAAGTACTATCAATGATTAGGGTACCAGATTAACAGAGAGTGGAAAAAATGGATAGGCTCCCAATAACATCCACGTACTATACACAAATACAGTAAAAGTTTAAACTTCTTGAAACATAGAAGTACATCTACATTCTTTATTTCCTCTAAAGGCCATTACCAAAACCTGGTCCCAGCTATCAGGGGTCTTGGGAAGGGTGGACCTGATATGGCCCAAAACTTAAACATTTTTAGACAAAGTGGTGGCCCTTTGAATCGACATTCTCAGATTTCTTAATTTCCTCTATAAAAATAAATTCTTACTGATCCATTTTTGGGCTGAGAAAGTATAAAGTATGTTCATTCAACAAAGTTTTCAACAGCAATTTCTCAGTAAAGAAGATACATCTTATACATCTAGAGTCATTTTGCACAGATAAATAAATGCCTAGCTAGACAAGTCAAAACTCAAAAGTAGAGATAATAAGGAAAGCACACTATGCATGGTCAAAAAATTACAGCGAACCCAGAATACAAAGTCTCAAAACTCAAAAAACACCATAGTTGAACAAACAAATAACAGAGGAACGTCAAGAAAAATGTAAGATATAAAACTGGCCTAATAGTGATCCTAAGAAGGATCATGACTATCTGTTTTTAACCATCCTACATCCTACAAGTGCAGGCCATGCTATTATGCCAAAACCAAATGGATAATATCATCAAACCCTAAAATTTTGGAACTCCTTGGTACTTCCTCTCTAATTCACCATCACCAGCTCTCTTGAACTTCTCCCTTGTAAGACTCAGACTGGATTGGACAGTTGAACTGGTGATCCAGTGATCCAGACCGTTCTGAGTCATGGTTAAATACTTAAATGTCAGTTTTCAAGGTTTGAATAGGCTAATTGCCAGGTTAACCAATAAAAACCATGACCCAGTCAGCATGCCAGTTTTAGGTCCAGTCCGAGTCTTACAACAACAATTTCTCTTTTTTTCAAGATAAGAAACAAGATCAAGAACTTTTAATAGTTGTAGGAAAATGTGCATGATATAGTATACCAATCAAAAGAAAAAGAAACAAGACATTATAGCTTACAAGTATAGCATCATGAATAATCAAATTTCCTAATTTATCAAACAAAATCAAATTCCCCCAAACTGTTGACTCAGTCAACCACCCATCAACCAGGACAACCGAACCATTGAGTTGTCTGACCTATTCAGCAGGTCACCAGTTCTTTTTTATAATTTTAGCATTTATGGCATAATGGTTTGACTTCTTGATACATTGTTTGCATTCTTATGTTCTTCCTGTATAGATTGTAAAGCTTAAAAAATAACCACTAAACAGTGAAGAGTTTTCTGATTTAAAAAAAAAAAAAGTGTTTGAGCTCTTGACCTGAACAGTTGAACCAATGACCAGGAAGGGGAAACAGATCAACATCTGGGCCAGGATTTAAAACATTGGATGGATAAACCAAATTTGGTATTATGGTGCTAGTATAAACCAAAATTCCATTATGGTCCAATTATGAACCAAGACTTTGCAATATTTGATTGAATGCAACTTTGCATATTCCATTGAGTCAATGACTACAAAAATTCCCAAGGAATTCACAAGAGGAATGCCTCCAAAAATGGTCCATTTGCACATCCTTAGCCAGTTTTCCAAATGAATCCCATGGGTACATATTCAGAAGTCAATGATTTCAATTGACTTCTGAATAATTGAATTTAATTTATTAAGGGTTCTAACAATTGATATTCCCACAAAAAATTGAAATTCAATTTCTTGATCTGTATCATTAATTTTTGTAAATTTGTGAAATTAGATATTCCCCCATTTCATGACCTGTACGGCAAAACGTATTTATCAAAAAGAACAAGAGATTATAAGAAAAAGATCATACGTCTTGCATAAATCCATAAAGTTCACAAAGACTGTCTTTTTTGTGCCTTCCCGTAGGACTTGTGGCGGCCTCATCACTGTCCTACGCCTATCTCCTGCAAGTTCTGGATTATTTTCTCTCAGAATATTGAAAACTCTCCCCAGAAGCTGCAGTTAAGACAGCAGACATCTTTAGTTTGTACAAAAGACATTAGGCACATAAGTAACCATCACAAAAAGCATACACAAAATTCCTTTGGCAACTTGTAGCATCCTACAAGAATTCTTAAAATTTCTGCCCTCCTTGCAGGCTTGCACATAATTTATAAACGACATTTAACTGAAATCTATTAAGCAAAACAAAAGAAAAAGAAAAACAATTCCTGGAATACAAAACCCCTCTAATCCTATAAATAAAAGCACATGAATGTAATAATACAAGTACTGCAGAAGGGTATTCAGTATTTTTGTTGATTTTCAGCAATCATTGTAGAAGCAATATTTCAATCATCTGAACAAGAAGTTAACAAAAAAATCAACTAATATCAACTGAAAATTACCATTCAGGATTGGAACATAATAAAATCAACTATAACAAATAAATAATAAAATTAAAAAAAAAAACTAGAAGTTTTTTATCAACTTAACCAGAACATATATATACCCACTGTCGTTAAACCAAGACTTTGTTGGCCAATATGTATGCCTTTGTTTTCTTAAAACAAAATTCCTGTATTCACAATTCCATTTATATATGGCATTGAAAGCAATACTCTAAAAGCACAAAAATAAAATAAAAAAAAGTGTTTCACAGTTTGCTATGTTGCAGTATTCTAAAAACACATAAAAATCCAGGAAAACCTAAATATCATAGTAACTGAATTTCAAAGAAACTAAGAACTTTTTTTTTATAGGTAAAGAAACTAAGAACTTCTAGATACATAGTAAGTGAAAATACCAACCTCTTCATATTCATAGTCTCGATCGGTTCCTTCCCAGGGATATTGCTTTAGCACAATCCCCTCCCCTTCTTCATCTTCTGCTACATGGCCTAAAAGTTGAAGAATATCACTTGCTGTATATGACATACCACAATAATATAATGGGAACAATATCACTGACTTAGAGAGGGAAAAGTTCTCATAATGCAAACTAGATGTTGAGTTGTTCAGGGATGAAACTCCAGTGCTTTAAAAACTCAGTAATCCAGCTTCCTTATTAAATCAGCTGTAAACCATCAGATTCATGATTCACCAGAATGAATCATAAACATCAGATACTAACTTGACAACATGACCACATTGATGGCCAACCAATTGTATGTCCTTTTTTTCAGTAACTGATAGTTTTTATTGATAGCATGAGAAATGTACAAAGCATGTTACAGATCGGTATGTGAGATTTTATATTTTACTTCCTTACAATAGAGCCAGCTCATTGCTGCTGTCAAAATTTTCTCTTATGTTAAAGGCTACCCACCCCAAATCAATGTTTGCCTGTTTACTCCCCTTCAAACCAATGAATCCATAATGAAGTTTGCAGCATGAGTTATTCAAAATAATTCTGCTTCCATGGAATTGGCCAGCTGTCTTAATTCCTTGGTTTGATTTCTTAGATGCCACAGCCTTTCCAGTTCTCCATTCAGCCAGCTAAAAACTACCTAGAGTCTCCTTTTATGATCAGATTTCAAAAGCCTTATGCCCTTGCCAGTTTGAGTCCTCAAAACAGCTTGCAACTCTGCTGTTATTTACTATTTTATCATTTTTTAAATGGACGTTTCCCTTTTGAAAGGTACAATAAATTATTTTCCTATATACCGTATTCATTAATTACTAGATGCATTATTTTTCCTGTATTTCTAACAATTACTCCAGTCTCCAACTCACTAGTTTGTAGCCAAACTCTCTATCCAATTGACTCAGTTCGAGTATCAACCCAAAAACACTGGGATGGGCTCATTAAACAAGTTGCACATACAACATACAAAAGCAAAACTTCTCATATTAGTTAACATTAAAATTAAAACAACATACATAATAGTTAGTTAAGCTAAACATGGTTCTTACCATCCAAATTCTCTTCACCATTCTCCTCACTAAGGAAATCAGTCTCCACCTGTATATACCACAACACATATCATTTGACGCAAAGAAAAAGGTGCATAGACCATTTATGTGAATACTTAAGCACCAATTACCAGTTTCTTTTTCTTCTTTTTCAAACCAGCAAAAGTGTTTTCCACTCCATCAGAAACTGCACTTGAAGAATCTCATAAATTCAAAGAAGAAATACATCAAATAAAGGAAGCATACAATACTTTAAAACCACACTCTCAAGTTCCTATAAAGAACAATTCATAGTTGCTGATTCAAATGAAGACCTGATAAATTCTCTGTTTTTTCAGCTAACTTATCAACAGATTCATCTGCAGGGTCCTGAACTACAACCTTCTTCTTCTTTTTCTTCTTTGTTGGGTCAAATGGGGCAAGCTGCAAAAATGAACGGATTCATGACACACTTAGGACATTAAATATCAGCAAATATAACAGCATAACAAATAAGACAGTTATACAAAGAGAAGATCCAGCTAAAAAATAAAGAAACCAATGCAACTTACAGCATGTCAAATATATGTTTCTACAGTCTTTACCAAAGAAGTGGAACACAATGGCTTTTGCTGTCCAGGACAGTTTTTTTTAGCCTTTGCAAAACTTTGCATACAAAGTTGTACAAAGAGAGCCATTGCTAGTACATAGATGTGGTATTAACAAGCAGTTATGCACCATAGGTTGGTTGAGAGATCCGGACTCGGTGATTTGGTGTTGTAGAAATGAAATGAAGAAGTTTACGTGGTTAATGCAGCAGATGAATCTAAGTATACAATGGGTGGGGAGAGAGGCTAATGCTTTGGCTGATTCATTAGCTAAGCAAGGGGTGATTAGGGATCAGTTGTATTGGGCGCAACTGTAATTCTGTACTAGCTGTGTTCTAACAGTGAGGCTGCATCTCACGCCTCCCTGTGGAATGCTTGTAACGATGCATATCTTTATGATTTTCAATAAATTTTAATGATCTGTTACTTATCAAAAAAATATGCACTTATGCACAAGAAGTGGCACACATGCCTCTATTAGCCATTAAGAAATATAAAATTAAAGGAAATTCTTCCAAATCCATGAAATATTTTATCAGAAATAAGTTAGAACCAAGTACATCCATGCTTTCACACAATAAAGTACAAGGGCTGGGTTTAAAAACAAAACAAGAGCCCAATATCAAAGCCCATAAAATTTCAAGAGATGCCAAGTGTCAAGCAATGTTTTAAAACGAGGAGGCGTAACGCAAGGCGTTCCACTACCTAGAGGCGCGAGGCGTAAGCCTCCTTAAGAGGAGGGGGGTTAGGAGGAAGGGGAGGAGGATGAAGAGGAAGGGGGGATCTCATTTTTTCTTTATTTTTAATAAAATTTTTTTATATTTAGAAGAATAAAGATGCATAACATTACTTGAAAGGGGGGGGTCTTGTCAAACCGGAGCGAGACCCCCTACCTCAAAAAAAAAACAAATTGAGCTGGTATCGAAAAGGGGGCGGGGGTCTAGGGTCGCCCCCCAGCCAAGGGGGTAGGGGGCAAACCACCTTCTTTCCCCTTATCTTTTCTTCTCTTCCTTTCTTGTTCTTTTCTTTCCTTTTCACTTTTTTCTTCTCTTTCTTTTTCTTTCCCTTCCCTTTCTTTTCCTTTTCTTTCCTTTTCTTTTTCTTCTTTTTTCTTTTTTTTTTGTCTTTTTATATAAGATGTGCACTAGGCGCATGAGGTGCACGCCTCTAGCATGCCTCATGAAAAAAGCGCATGAGGCGTACGCCTCAGAGGTGTCAGCGCCTCTGGCATACACCTCAAGTTGTTTTGGGAGCACCTCGCCTGGAGGCACACCTCCAGGCGTACGCCTCCCACGCCTTTTAAAGCACTGGTGTCAAGCAACCATGCATCAGTAATTGAAAGTTAAAAGGAAGAGGTAATGAAAAATTTACACTTACTTCTGGCACATCATCTTTCAGTTCAACAGGAGCATCCTCGGCCATATCTGTTCTAAATCAAACAAAAGAAAGCAAGAAGAATGAGAAAAACAAAAACAAAACCAAAAAAGGGTATAAAATTAAACAAAATTAACAATGAATTCCCCATGATGGTGAACATTGCAGCATCAATCCACCCCAAAACTGAACTTTTATTGTCTATAAATGAAGCAAGAGAAACATGCAGTGCCCTTGCAGAGTAAAAACCAGTAGAATGCACAAATGGCCATCTTTTTTTTACTCAAAATAGGATGCACAAACAACTTCAAACTTGAAACAGCAATAAATTCAATTGAAAACATAAGATTCTTCTCTAAAGCATGAAGAAAGACCATAACAGCACTAAATTACTTAGAAACAAATAAAAATAAAATCATCATTCATTCTCAATCCACATTATTTATGAGAGTTTGAACCCCATAATTCTAAAGCAAAGAGTGGAGAAACTCCATAGAGAGAGAGAGAGAACAAAACCTCCACACCCAACAGATGTATTTCTACAATACCAATAAAAAAGATGCAGTTCTACAATACTAATTAAAAAGGATGTATTTCTACAATCAGCTAAACTTGGAAAATATTTTGTCTTGATGGGATAACAAAACCTAATTACCTTTAGCCCCCCTTCGTTTACAAATTTCTCACTTACCCGGGTAAGTGCACTTACCAAGGTAAATATTTCCTGGTAACACTTACCCATGTTCTTTTGATTCTCAGGTAAGTAATATAATGACCTTTTTACCCATAAAAAGCTAATTTTGAAAAGGAAAAACTTGTCCCATCATGTTTTATAAACTTTTCCCTCGAGTGGGAAAGTTACTTACCCACCTAGGAGATGGATAAGTTTTACTCGGGTAATGAAGCTCTCTTTACCATGGGGGCCAGTACTTAATGCAAAAAGAACACTACAAAGTTGGTCAATGGGAAAGAGATACCCACTTACCAACTTTCCCCATCTTTATTTGGAATGGTTGGATTTCAATAAAGTTCAGTTCAAAGTTTACATACAGTCTGCCTTAGACCAAGTTAGAAGTTGTAGTTTCATTTAAACCTATAAAGTACAAGAACTCCATGGACTATGAGATATCACTTCTTTGCATTCTTCACATTTGTTTTTATCACTTTCAATCTTCACCTTTCATGAGGCATTACCCATTCCTGCCACTTCACAATCCTTTCACTTATATAATCTTGCCATGGTTAACAATCAACAGAACATATCCCAAGAATTATCCAAAACCAAAAAAGCCCACAACTAATAATTGAGCCTCAAACATCAACTACAAAAATTGAAGCCCCCAAAGACCCAAACAATCAGCTCATATCACCCATTTACCCCCCACCCCAACCCTCATCTAAAGAATCCACAGCCCCATCATCCAACTATTTTAATGCCATTCCTCTTCCATCACCACAACAGACTCAATATTAGTTTTATCAACAGCATAATCCTTTCTATTCTCCAGCTCAATAAAACTTTTTCTTGCAAGCTCATCATATTTTCTAGACAACCATCAATTTATTTAAACACATTGTCGACAACATATGTAACCTTTATCTTCAAAAAACACCATACATAACCTTAATTTGATTGGATGTGGATACGAATAAACTGAATCAGTAATTAGTTATTATGAGACACATAAACCTCCACATTCAGTTTAAGGGATTCTTTTATTTTCTTTTTCCCCCCTTCTTGTCCGGTTCATTCACATACAATTTTTCATACTCGATTCATCTGCCAAATCCCACACTATCATCTACTGTAACTAGAAAAGTAGGATAGTTAAGCAGTAGGTTTCCCTAGAATTCTAGTTGTTGACATCATCATAAAATCCTGGTTAGAAATTATTCTTATACTCTTGAAGTTACTTTAGGAAGCTTTAGCTGTAACCGAACTTCAAACAGCAACTTTTCATCAGCCTAAATTCACACAAACGAACTGCCTCTGAAAGCCCACCCTGAACAGCAAGGTTATTCCACGCTATGGGTCCAACCAAGCCAAACCAAAAGCGCTCTCATAAGAGATAAAATAGTGACATAAGTTGAGGCAAATATGAGTAATTAAACGTGTGAATGTAAGAATAAGTATCACTAGATAAAGTACACCGAGAGTCCCGCGTCCCGCCCACACAAAAGAATCGCATAGCCGCGATTGTAAAGAGATTTAGAGGACAGAATATTGGGTAAAACCAACAAATTTTCAACTGGTTTTGTGCAAGAAAATGAATGACAGATAAAAAAATAAATCAGTCTTTCACTACTTCTCTCCCGCAATTATCTCAAGGAAGAAGAATAACAAATATCATCCAAAAATCCAGATTCCAGATTTAAAAAGTATATATATTAAAAAGGATTGAGCTCTCTGCCAAATCGTTTTTCAATCTTCATTGCCACCGCTAAGCCAAACGTAGAACAAACTAGGGGAAGAAAAAGAAAAAAAACCCCATCTCTATTTAAATTTGTCATTCCCCAAATAACTGTAGCAGGAAAGAAGAAACATTGATTGGGGTAGGAAGAAATAAATACCTTTCGGAGGTGCTGAAGAACAAAGCGGGTTTCAAGCTGAACAAAACACAGAAGACCCCTTGACCGTCTCTGGAACCCGCGAGAGCGGATGTTGGTAATCACTGCATACAAAGAAGAAAAAGGTTGGGGGAATTTGAGGGATACGTCAAAAAGGGTTTTGGGACTTATTCGGTATATTGCAAATTGTCATATGACCAAAATATCCTTCGCATGGGCTGCCTGTGTCAATGGCCATACGGRTAGAAAAGAAAAGGGCAAATTTTTTTAACTACCCTTTATGATTTAATTAATTGACTAATTTTATCCTTATTATTTACAAATTATCTTAAATTATCCCAAATTTTTTAACAATTGATATCATCGAAAACCCCATCCAGTAAAAAGCAAAATATCGAATGTATCCTTTATTATTCCTTAAATTTTCAAAATAAAATCTAATTAATAAAAATTTAAAATAATAAAACCGATTTTTCATTGAGACAASAAGAATGAAAAAAGGGAAGTGGTTCAAAGGATCTTATGGCAACGCAAGACCGAAGAGTGGGAAGAAGATCGAGAGGATCAATGACAAGGTCGAGGTTCCTCACTACATCCACTCCATGGCCTCTCCCCTTCGAGCTAATATGATCTGATTTTTCATTAATAATTTCACAAAAAAAATTACARCCATAGTTCATTCACGTCCTCCTCTCAACATAGCGACAAAATAGCGGCAACAATTCCCAGATCCACTCCATAGTTTATTCACGTCATCTCCGCCTTTTCTCCTTCCTTGCTCCACTCTATCATCTCCGCCCCTGTTCATAGCCACCATCATCCTGTCGCTGTAAATAGCATTTTTATCTCTTTTTCTTCCATCTCCTTTTCACACTTAGATTGTATTTGGAAGTGATGTAAATTAAGAACTGATGTAAAATTTAAATCTGTTTGGTTTTGTAGGTATTTGGAATGAGTGTATGATTATGATCGATGTAAAATTCCATTTCGGTTTAATTTTGCGTACATTTGGATGAAGTGGAGTTTTACATCGATAATCAATGTAAAACATCATAAAGTTTTATATCGATAATCGATATAAAAACTACGTTAATTTTATCAATGTAAAATTTTACACTCTTCAACCTATTGTGTTTTTCAAAAAGCAACGATGGTTTAGTATAAAACATTATTAATGTATTTTTACACCGATGACATTTTACACTAATTCCAAACGCAACCCTATTTTTGCTGTCACCACCGAACAAACCCTGAGATGCACCATTGTCTCACTTGAAACCTCCAATGCTTATCAGGCACAGCACCCCTTGAACCATTATTATTCACAGTTAGCAACGGAGAAGCCCCTCCAGACACAGATAGATCCTAACTTTCTTTTCTGTAAACATGTTAAAAGATGAACCGATATATGATATATCCCCGCTGCCACCATTAGCATCATATTCTTCTCGTTTTCTTGACAAGTTTCATTGTCGTCAATGGAGACGGGCAAAAGGTTTTTCATTGTTTCTTCCATTAATCATGTCTTCTAATTGCACTCTTTCAATTTCATGATTTAAATGCAGTCACCGCAATTGATGTGTGCAGAATTTTTGTATAGTTTACATGGGAAATCGTTCTACCGCCAAAGAAGCCGATGCTATGCTATCTATTTGAGCAATCTAACTCCGCTCGGATTGGGTCTAACAGCATTTATGTATTCAGATTGACTCTGCTGTATAGACAACAGAATTTCTGTATTCAGATTTGGGTCTACCAGCTACAGTTCAGAGTTGAGCAATCTGACTCTGCTCAGAGATCATTCTAAGGATAAAGCAACTCCTGCCTCTTAAACAATCCGACTCTACTCAACTCAGCGGCAAGGATGATGGCGGCTTTAGGAATTGTTTTTGCCTCATTTAAGTCGGATTGAGCAGAGTGCCTCTGTTCTCAGTTAAGCCGTTCATTAACAGCTTCAATCAAGCTGGATCCTTGAATCCAAAGAAGTAGCCCACAGCAGTTTTAGTGCTCTCGTCATCGTGTCAAATTGTAAGGCCGAAGGCACATCTTCACTAATCTCCATTTCTCACTAGAAATGCTTATTAACTGGTTTGATATTTTGCTTCTCTCCATCACTGTTTTTCTACCATTGCCATCCCAGACGGAGGAGCTCGGCGGGAATACTGAGATTCAGAGAGAGACAACTTCCGGCAGGAAAATAATACCGATTACCGAAGAGATTAAGAGAGACAAAATCATACCGAAGATATTCTATTCAGTTACAAAAAGGGTATTATTGTCTTTTTCGTAAAACATAACCGTTACGTGGTATGGCAGTGAGGAGATTGTGATATATTGTAACGGAACCCTAACGGTAGAGGAGAATTAATCAATTATTATAAAATTTGAGGTAGTTTAAAACAATATGTAAACGATAAGATAGAGTCAGTCAATTAGCTACAAAGGTAGTAATTTAAGAAATTTGTCCAAAAGGAAATTAACTCGCCACAAATATAATGAGGGAGATTTTAGTCATTTGAAGCCCTTTTATCTTCCGAGTTTCACCTAAACACCTACTGAACAAAATAACAAAACCTTGCTGTTCAGTTCTCTCTCTCCCTCTCTCTCTCTCTCTCTCTCTCTCTCTCTCTGTTTCTAGGGTTTCCGCCGATCGATCCATCCATCGGTAGAAAGAACAGTTAAAATTTGGATCAGCAACTTTTTAACTGTACTTTTCTGGTTTGTTTGTTCCCATGGATCGAAATAAGAAACGATCTTCTCGCGATGATGATTCTTCGAAACCGGAGCAGAACAAGAAGCGTCAATCTTCTTCCTATGCGAACCCTGCTTCCGATGAAGGTCCTGAGCAGCAAAAGCAGAACCAGCGTCAGAGTAGGCGTCCTGCCTTCATTTCGTATCTAGAATCCCCGAATTTGCCTCCCAAAACCAAATTGCTCTGCGAAATCATAGCCAACACGCCTTCTCCAACCGTTGAGAAGGTCCTCGAAGAGACAGGAGTTAGGGTTACGACGGGAGACGTCGAGGAGGTTCTGAAACTCTCGTATGGCTACCCATCTACTGCTGTGAAGTTCTTCCGCTGGTCCGGCTGGCAGCTCAATGACAAGCATAGTCCGTATGCATGGAACCTGGTTGTTGATTTGTTAGGGAAGAACTTATTGTTCGACGCAATGTGGGATGCAATCAAGTCCATGAAGAAGGAAGGGCTGCTCTCTTTAGCGACATTTGCTTCTGTTTTTAGCAGCTATGTGGTTGCAGACCGAGTTGAGGAGGCGATAATGACGTTTGAGGTCATGGATCAGTATGGTGTTGCTCGGGATATTATAGCATTGAATTCACTGCTCAGCGCGATATGCAGAGAAGGAAAGACAATGAAGGCAAAGGAGTTTCTTGACATTGCCAAGGATAAGATTCGACCGGATGCTGATACATACGCAATTCTATTGGAAGGTTGGGAAAATGAGAATAATGTTGCTTGTGCTCGACAGACTTTCGGTGAAATGGTGATTGATATTGGATGGAACCCAGAGAATGTACCAGCTTATGACTCGTTTCTGAATACATTGCTTAAGGGTCATGACATTCATGAAGCGATGAAGTTTTTTGAGATGATGGCAGGGAAGAAATGTTTCCCCGGGATGAGATTCTTCAGGACTGCATTGGAAGAGTTTGTTAAATCGAAGTGTCCGGAGTGCTAGCACCCTTTGGGAAGCAATGGTGGAGAGGAATGGTTGCAAACCTGATACCCATATGTACAATTTGATGATTACTTTGCACTGTTATCTCAACAATTATGACAATGCTTTCCGGTATTTGGCTCTCCAGTGACATTATGACGCCTAACACTTATAGGCAGCTCACCACAGACAATTCACCATCGTGCAGCTTGGCACCTTACATGCAGTTCGCCACCATGCAGCACTTACAGGTAACCCGCCACAGGCGGCTCACCATCATGTAGCTTGGAAACTTAGACAACTCGGCACTGCATAGGCAGCTTGCCACTAGGCAGCTCGTTACCAAGCAGCTCGCCTCCTAGTCAAACCGATCACTGCATGACAACCCCGAGGAGCTTACCACCGTGCCCCGCATTTTACGGGATTGTGACTTGTAACGTCTGTATTAGCTCACCCACTCCCCGATTTAGGCGGAAATGGGCAACCTTACCGGTTGGTGGCTTTATGTCCACCTAACACGAAAGCAGGTCGCATCACAGCGGGAATCCAGGAACTGCTCTACCAAACCCACGGGAACTCCAGTATATAAAGACCTCACCCCCAGGGGCAAGGGGGGGGTGAGAAAATGAGGTGCTAACCCCTACTTTTTAGCTCTCTCATTCTCTAATATCATTCCCAGCTCACTACTAAGTGACCTCGCCGGGTAAACACCCTCGGGCTCTCTGATTCAATTATTGCAGATCAACCAGCTCCCGCCGCATACAAAGATGAGTAGATCATCTTCAGCTCAGGAGTAGCCGGTTCAGTTCCCGTTGTCGTTGGTAGCCAGATCAATTCCTACAGGGAGCATCTAGGCTGCGCCATACTAGGGAGCCCTACTTAAGCCTCTGGATCATCGGAGATGAGGTGACGAGGTAGTTAGCCAAAGAAATGATACGTGACCCGAAACGGTCACATCAATACTTATCGGCATGCTTCCACAACAAACCCAGCCGGAATCTGACCGTCCGGCACTTACTATCCAGCCTTCTTCCCCACGCTTTCTACTCCCCTCGGTTGGAATGAGCACCCACCTCTGGGGCCCACCGTAAGATCGCGATCGCAGTAGATCTCAGCGACGAGAGTGCCTTCGCTGTGAAATGGGCCGTCCAGAACTACCTCCGCCCAGGTGACGTCGTGATCCTACTGCACGTTCGGACCACCGGCGTTCTTTATGGTGCCGACTGGGGCTCCATTGACCTATCCGTCGACACCGACGAGGAGTCCCAACAGAAGCTCGAAGATGACTTCGACGCCTTCACCACCACCAAGGTCACCGATCTGGCTCAGCCCCTGGTAGAAACACGGATTCCTTTTAAGCTTCATATCGTCAAGGACCATGATATGAAGGAGCGGCTTTGCTTGGAGGTCGAGAGGTTAGGGATGGGTGCCGTGATTATGGGCAGCCGAGGGTTCGGTGCCTCGAACCGCACCAGCAAAGGACACCTTGGCAGCGGGTGGACGGAGCACAACATGGTGCTCCACGGGTGGACGGGTGCCCTTGCATCGCTGAACCTGAAGCCATCGAAGTCCTTGCTGGCGAGGTTCAGGGACGCAAAGAAATGGCGGAGAGGCGGGTACGATGAGATCATGGCGGGGGCGTTGGTGGAGAAGGAAGAAGCGGTGGTGAGCGAAGAAGGCACGACTTCTTTCATTGTAAGCTCTTTCGGTCGAACATAATCGGAAGAAAGCTTTTCAGAGAAGGAAGAAACGGACGGGAATAGGAGTGGGAAAGGAAACTGTTTGTAGGGTACGTGTCGAACGCAGGGGTGTCCGACACCCTCAATTGGTTTAGGTATATATAGATATAAGATCAAGTTAACGGGTTGGCTTTTTGATCCGATTTGCTAGGATCAGGAGAGATATTCGAATCCGGATCGGTATAGGATTCGGATAGGATCTGATCCGACTTATTTGCAGCACTATTGAGGGTTAATCAACGAGGGTCTGCTTTAAGGTTGAAAGTTGGAACTGAACTTCGAAGGTTTCTCCTTCTCAAATTCTCCGAATTGCGGTAATTCGAACATAAAGGTTCATTCTCAGACTATCCGAAGGTTCATTCTCTGCAACGTCGCCTTAGAAGTTTGGCCTTGGTCTGTTCGTAGGTTTCGTCTATGTCTCTGTTCGAATGTTAGACGTGCAAAACTCTTCTCCTCTCTGTTCAGGGTTTGTTCAAATCGCCGAAACAAGCTTCAACGTTGCAGGTGACCAACTTCTCACCGTTGTTTCTCGCTTCCATCATTTTCGCCAGCACCAATCCATCTGTGGTTTTGATTGGTAGTTGTGTTTTTTTCTCTTCCAGTCGTCTTCTTCTCAATATTCAGACAGGTGGGTTTTGGTTATTCGCCTTTTATAGTACGAAATTTTCTTCTGCTGTTTCAATTATCTTTAAAGTTTAAAGCAGTGGCGACAATCAGACCGCCATTTTAAAGTAATGAGAATACCACCGAATCATGGACTTCAAAGTATTGTTTTTCCTAGATTTAATATAGTCATATTGCAAGAGCAGAGACATAGGCTCAATGCCTTACACCTGATGGTTTGATGCTTATTTCTGTCAATGTTGGGTGCTATACTTCAGAATTGCAATGCAATTTTTCAGTTCTATGGTTCAGGATGATTCAAATTATGAAATGTTAGAATCTTGTGATTTTATTAGGTTATGATTGACATTTGATTTTTGCATCCATCATGGTGTCTTTGCGCTTCCCTTTCTCGTTTCCTCAGCCCTCAAAGCTCCCATGTCTCTTCTCGTTCCTTTTCTTCAGCAACCATGGTGGGGTCTGTTGCAGCTGCAGTCGGTGTTGGGATCGGAATGGGTCTCACCATTTCCCATAAAATTACAAACCAGAAAGACCCATTTGTCAAGAATGCACTGGATTTCTTCTCCAATTACCGACACAGTTGATATTCTCCCATGTGGGCTACTCTTTCCTTAGCAGATAATACCGCTGATTGTTTGCTTTATTAGCAATGATTGTATTCTTTATAATCCTCATATTTGTCTACGACTATCTGCAACTGAAAATTGATGATGAGAAATTTGTCATTGCCATTAATTGGTCACTTGTTCATTATCTTGATGTTTTTACCAGTAAACAGATTCCTATTACCAAATTAAGTAGCAAAGTTACTAGATTTTACTCTCCTTTTGGTTTCTCCTTTTACTCCATGGGGAGGTGGCAGGTTGTGAAAGGCAGGATTGAGCCTCAGTAAGGACCAGATAGCCATTATTCTTAATGTTTTAACTACTATAGGTTGCCTTGTTTCTGACCACTGTTAATGATGTTCTCTAATCCCATATAACACTTTTCCTCTTCTAAAACCAGTTGCTCTCTTTCAAATGATAAGCCTTTTTTTTGAGGAAATGATAAATGTATTGATATTAGCTATAGGCGAAAGGAGAGTACATGAGGACGGTAGCATGTTTACTTTGTTTATTGTCCTATTGGGTAAATGAGAGGATGTATACTATACACAGATATGGACCGCCAATCCTGTCCATGCAAAAACTAATCAGGAAGAGAACCATGTTCCATACAAAAAAGGTCCTTTCAAATCCCAAACTAGCTAAGTCATCTGCTATTATGTTTATCTCACTGGGAATCCATCTAAAAGATGCATTCATGTTGGTATTATTTTCTGTGGTTTCATTTAGATTTAGATAGTAATAGGTACAATGCTTCCTTGCCCACCTTTTGATCCAAACTATTGCATTGGGTGAGTGATCAATCTTCTAGAAGTAAAGTGATTTATCTTCTGATCAATCCTTTTATGACTATCTGCTTTGGCTCATCATATTATCTCATATCCTTTCATCTAGTTATTAGATTGTTGACTAGGATGCCAATCATGACAGAGTTCTTTCTATTTATTTATTTTTTTTTTTTTATTTTCTTTCCCTCCTTTTATTTTTATTCTTTTTGAAACCCTGTCAATAATGGGCTCAATGTAACAGCAAAATTCTTTGTGGAGAATTAAGAAAGTTTACCTCTCCTGTTCTTGTAATTGTTTTATCATAATTCTAATGAAATGCTGTTATTGATCCAAAATAAAAACCCTATCAATAACCATAGAAGGTTATTGATGGCTAATGGCTGAGATGCTAGCCTTTCCTCTAAGACTCTAGAAAAACTCATGCTTCCCCTTAGAAAGCCATACATAGTATCCTCTCCCTTCTCTTCTCAGCTTTATTAGATATGATGCCTATTTGGGCGATTGAATTCTTTTCAGGAAGATCTGTGGGTGGAGGAC